ATGATGAGACACATCTCGCTGGTCTTACTTACTGGCTGCTCGTCCGGCTGGTTACCACGCAACGAGAAATGCTACCTTCTGAGTTCCTTTAAGGCGTCGTGGCTAACTGCAGCGGTACGTGTAAAACAGTGAATTTATAGATTTGGTGGGTAAACTACGTGTATAGGGAGCCATGACTTATTATGAAAATATCCACCAAAATTATATCCAGTAAATCTTCATCAAGACAAGAAGATCACAGGCCTGTAATTGTTCATCACTTTCATAACGCTACAGAAGTAAACAAATGTTTTCGTACGGTTCCTTTAAACAAAACGAATATAACAGTGTGTATTTATCATGTCATTGCAGAGTTTTTGTAGTACATTTCCTGCAAAACTTGCAGAACCAACAGATCAATGCTCTATTACCTTCCTTAGTGATCAAGGTCAAAGTCAAAGGAAGCCCACGTAGGTATGGCCCTTATTTTCTGATGACGATCTCCCATGAGTTTACAGCATAACCGTGTGGTACAGAATAAACACGTCATAATTACAGCATGAACACATGTAATATAAACACGTTTGGTATATACAACAGAAACATAACGTCAGAATGCTCTCTCTTTAGAGTAAAATGGCGTGATGCTTATTTAACAAATCTAATATACAACAGAGCAGGACATGCATGTTCCAATCAAGAGGTAACGAGTGAATGCACTAACGTTTTACATACGTCTTTACGTCTGTAGTAATAATATGACTTGTTCATACAGTGATTTCTGACTTGGCAGTTGGTGAACTTTACAATGACATTCTTTTGCTTCTCTTTGTTCAGTGAGCTATGGAAAAGAATGGACCCCAGTGCGTTTTACAGTTCGGACTTCGGGACTACTTTGCAACAATCTGTTATAGGAGAGCCTGCATGTATTTAGTGACAATAGGAGAAAAGACGATGCCATTCAAGTACGACTGCATCCAGGAAAGTGCATCACTAGTAACAATAACAAGAATACTTTTGACGATTGAAAAATATGCCACGATGATATCAACTACACTGAACTGGTCTAGCATTAAGACTTCAGCTATACATTTCTTATCAAATGCTTGGCTAGCTTTGCCGTTGTGTCGCGTACGATTGACCGATTAACATTGCAGGTTATCATGAGGATTGTTCGCATTGGGACAAACCTCTACACGTTTGGTCTCAATCTCCTTCAAGTTATTGGATAGAAGTAGTAGTAAACGTCGTTGTTAAATAAACGTCTGTTAAAATGGAGTAAACAAGAAAATATTGTTTCCGATGCTCAGTTTGGTTTTAAGCCTGGGTTTGGTACAATAGACGCAATTTTTCGATTACATAGTTTAATTATCAATTCGATAGAACGACACAAGAGGCTTTATTGCGCTTTTATTGATTATAGTAAGGCATTTGATAGTGTGACACACCATAATTTGTGGTATAAACTTTGGAGAAGTGGTATTAAGGGTAGACTACTTAAGGTAATTAAATCAATTTATGATAATGTACGTTCATGTGTGAAATTACATGGTAAATTATCCGCCATGTTTGATCTACATGTCGGATTATTACAAGGGAAATCGTTATCTCCCATACTTTTTCATTATTTGTAAATGAAATGGAAAGTGAATTTATAAATTATAATTGTCGAAGTTATGAATTACAGTTATTAAACCTGTTTATGCTGATGTATGCGGATGACACAGTTTTATTCTCGGACTATGCTACCGATCTTCAGCATATGCTAGATCGTTTACAGACATACACTGAAAAATGGAGTTTAAATGTTAATATAGAAAAAACTAAAATTATTGTTTTTAGAAAAGAAAAAGAATGTTACCTTATGAAATTTGGACTTTCAATGGTAAATCTATCGAAATTGTTGATAAGTTTTGTTATCTTGGATTAGTTTTTCACTATAATGGAAGATTTACTGTAACACAAGATACATTAGCTTGTCAAGGACGGAAAGCATATTATCACTAAAAGAAAAATGAAAGATTTTCCCCTTAATACGGAAACTATAATGTCTTTATTCGATACATATGTTGCATGTATATTGAATTACGGGTGTGAAGTTTGGGGGCATAATGTATCGCCACAAATTGAAAAAATCCATCTCCTTTTTCTCAAAGGCCTATTAAATGTTAAGAAAACTGTCAATACTTCTATGGTTTACTTTGAAACTGGGAGATATTCATTATATGTGCAACGTAAAATGGCCATAATGAGATATTGGTTAAAACTTTTAAATACTAGTAACTGTGTTTTAAAATTATGTTACGACGCATTAGTCGAATTGAATATCAGAAAACCTAATTGTAAAATTAATTGGGTTTATCAAATTAAGCATGAACTATGTAGTTTAATTATATTTGGACTTGTCAATATGTACAAAATTAAAATCTTCTTTTGCAAATGTATGCTTAACGTGTTCATGATGTATTTATCCAAGAATTACGCAATGCTTTTATTGCATCTTCAAAATGTTATTTGTACAAGCATCTTGTTGATACCTTTTGCGTCCAGTTCTATCTGACTAAGCCCATTAATATAAGGATAAAAAAAGTTATTGAGTCAATTTCGCATGCAAGCACACAGTCTCAACATAGAATCTGGGCGCTATAATAACATTCCAAGATGTCAGAGAATATGTACAGTCTGCGATAAAAAAGATATCGAAGATGAGGTACATTTTGTACTACTTTGTCATGCATATTCTGATTTAAGAAAAACATACATCAAACAGTATTATTATCGACATCCAAGTGTCTATAAACTAATAGAATTATTTACATGTAAAAGGGTTAAATCTTTAAATAGACTGGGTAAATATTTGTGGCACGCTACTGCTAAAAGGAAAATTCTCCTCGCTCAGTAGTGATATTATATTAAAACATTATTTAAAACTACTTTGTTATAAGTGTACATGTATAATAATAGTTATTTAAGATTCGTTAATAGCGCGTTAAATAGTACTTTAATGACATCCCGTGGTTCTTTCTGGCTGTTTGAAGTTATATGTAGTGTTTTCATTATGATGTCATCCTTTCATGTCGTCACATATATACAGGTAGTAAAGTCACACATATGATTATATTGTTACATACTTCTCATCACTTTACGAAAAATCATGCTGTAAAACTGCAAGTGATATCATTATTACATGTCTGTAGGCATATATATATTTGAATGGAATTGTCCTCCGCCATCTTGTACATCACATTTGAATTTTGAATATTTAATTATGTATGTTTGTAACCTATATGCTGTATTGCATTTGGATATAATAAAACTTGAAACTTGATAATGAGCGGTATTTTATCTCCTCTTTTCCATGTAAGTCGTTATCAACAGAGGTCTAATAAAAGTTTTTCTTAAACCAAAATGGAAACTTTGACTCAGTCAATTACATTGTTCAAGACTGAAGTCATCAAAAGAAGTAATACTATAAGACAGTGCTTCAGTAGATCTGTTGGGAGCGGATAATGTCCATATGACTTCATTTGCGAGTTCAAAATTTTCTTGACATTTTCTTGCGCCATGAACTAGAAGTGAACCAATTTAAATATAATGAGCCGACATTGTGCTTGGTACATCTGCTGGCGGACGGTTAATTTAGTCCTTCGCAAGTAATTACCTCTGTTTGCAGAGATGCACGTTTGTCAATCGGAGCTTTGATACAATATGTATATACTCCAACATATCAACTCCATCTTCTGTAGACTAAAGTGCTGAAAAAATTGAATGTCTTTGATGAACTTCCACACGAAACTTGTGCTGTATGTAAACTATGGTTTACCACAGTTAAGTGTGTCGTGAGCCGCAAAATGTTTCTAGATCGGTGCCCTCGAACTCAGACGCGGGTCTGCCTCCAAAAATGCGCCGTGAATGAATGAAATATCTTCTCTTGTGAGGACTTCGTCCAGTGTATAGCCACAGGTGTTGGTAGTTTCTGTAACTGACGAGTATTAACATTTGTATGCCGTACAAGTGAAAATTTAGGTATCTGTGATCACAGTATCTTTTGGTATTTCAACTAGGTTGTCTTAAAAGGTTAAACACTCGCCAGAAAGTGTTTTGGAAATCGTTCTGTCTAGTGACAGGTTGTGTTTTCTTAAACATGACAGGTTTACTGCCAGAGGCCTACCATGTCGAGGTTTGTGGAGGATTTCATAGAGGTATAAGCTCAGCCAGTTCTTTGTAGTCAATAGTGATCCTCACCAGATCTCTTTTATTGCAAGAATATTAATGTACTAAGAATTTAGGACAATCGCTGATTCACAATGACTTGTTCTTCATCAAGTGCCCTCGACTGATAGCAGAACTCACTGGTTTAAGAGTCAAAAGAACTGATCTATTTTAATTAAACACACTTCACCGTGATATCGAAACCGGAATAAATGAAAAGGAACACCCAATGTCCCCCAAGCAGAATAAATAGAAAAGCCGCGATCATTCAAGTTAAATAATCATTGAACTGTGTTGATATGGCATTTACAGTTAAAATGAATGACACAACATTGCAGGCAAGCATCATCTAAACACAGTTCGATGCTCATATTTACCATTTTCGAAGGATTTGAATATAATAGAAATTAATATAATTTATTGTGTGTGTTTGTTCCATGAATAAGACGTCAACACGTGGGCCATGGCATTTACAGTCTCTTGAATGCCATCCGAACACGGTAGGGTTATATGGTTGCAGAATAATTACCATGAATACAACCGGTCAAAAGCTGAAATAATCTCTGTGAAAACAGACAGTCAAACGCTAACATGGAATAATCATCGTGAATACAACCGATCAACAGTTGATGTGGACGCTGTAGCTGTCAAACGAATGCAGCTATTGTTTAAAAAAAGAAAAAAATCAACAATAGTTAATAAGACAAAATCTATTCAATTTAACACGGACTGGTATTTAAGTGCGTAGTTGCATTTGTACCGTAGAGCAAGACATAGATAAGGGCATAGATCTAAATAAAACACCAAAAACAAGGGCAGGTGAAAGCCTTATCAAAGGCCGAACTAGGGACAAGGAAGAGAACAATGGCGAGGTTCTCACTGCTGGTGTTAACTCTGCTCTTACTCTCGATTCAAACAGTGTTTGGTAAGTGAGTTTCTTACCTCGGCGTAAACTTTAGATACAATAACAAGTTCAATAACATACAGAAACGATTGTCAGATGAAGGATGTAAAGCCATTTTTGCCTTATTTTCTAATTAAAAAACCATGCTGTGTTTGTTTGATACCGGCGTTAGTAGCATATTGTACTACTTTTGTGAAGTGTGGGGTTCGACCAAAGGGTTGGACATTGAAAATGTACATTTAAATTTTTGTAAGAGGTTACTCAAAGTTAAACAATCTACAAATATTGTAATGGTAAACTGGGAACTTGGTCGTTTCCCTTTAGAATATACAAGAAGGTAACGAATAATTAAATATTGGTTTAAACTGCTCGACACGAACAAATGTATTTTTTATTAAAAAAACACCCACCGTTGTATGCTTCAATTGGGTACACTATGTGAAAGAGTTGCTAGGTACTCTTGGTTTCGGTGAAGTATGGCTTAGCCAATCACCATCGAACGCTAAATCCATTTTACCGTGTTTACTTCAAAGAATGTTTGACTAAGCTCAACAATATTTGAGAGATTTATTAGAGAATTCCTCGAAATGTTTTTTATATAGGCATATTGTAAATCATTTTTCCATTTAGTTTTATTTAACTAAGTATATGCCTAAGAAATATAGAATATGTTTAACAATACTTCGTATGGCTTCACATTCTTTGGCAATTGAACCCGGTCGTTATACAAATATCGAGCGGAATAGGAGATATTGTGCAATTTGTAAGTCGACTACTGAAGTAGAAGATGAATATCATTTTGTATTAATATGTAATATGTACAACGACTCAAGAAGTCAATATATAAAAAAATACTATTGGCAAAAACCTTCAATGTTTAAATTAATACAGTGTGTCAATAACAACAAGGAATTAAGCCGTCTTGGCAAATATTTTTTTGAAGCAAATAAAATAAGAGCTGTATTTCTTTAACTCGTACTCCATTTTTGTCTTACTGTTTCACATCCTTATTATGTATTGTATGTAATGTCTAATATGTACTCATGTGCCGTAAGGCCTACAGTCAATACATTGAATTGAACTGAGTTGAGTACTTTAAGCATAGATAGTCCAGAGAATTCTCAACCCGGTAAGGTATATGTGACACTCATTCTATCGAGTTAATATTATCGATTTTGGACATTAAGAATGTATTCATGAAAAGTTAAAACAACTAGTGTTTAAGGTTTTTTTTATTATATGTACTTTTGGGAGAAAGAAAGAGTTAACGGCATACTACACCTTTCACATTTTGGGGTAGACCTGGCACGGAGCAAGAAGACAGAGACCTAGACAAGCAAATACAGGGGTTATTTAAAATGTATATGGAACGTAGCGTATAGGGTATGTCAGAGTGTGTACGCACACATGCACGTGACTATAGGTAAGCGAACAGGTAAAATCATATGGAGACACATTATACAATATTATGTGACCGGTGACCACAGTCGTTATAGTCTGTTTTTCGTGGCTCACTGCGGCAAGTATGTAACCTTGGTAATTGATATTCCAATGTCTCCACTAAATAAGTTAAAGATTCACAAATCCCCCAAAAGGTGTAAAATTACTCTAAACAATTAGTTTAGGTCCAAATATAGATGTAACAAATTATCAGGCCCCTGTGGAAGTTTTTACAATAGATAAGCTACACCAGTTAGCCATAAAAGTAGTGGTTTCCTGTATTAAAGTATGTCACGCGTATTTTCCTGAAAAATAACAACAGAAGAAAGTAAAAATCTGTTCAGTTTTCTGTTATTTTTTACTTCGTTTTAAATCGACAGGTTTCAGAGTATTTTCCCCATGCAACACAACCAAAATAACCATATATATGCTTTTCTTAGAAGACTGTTCTAGGGTAATTGATAAAAGATAATTCTCTAGTGTTTTGTCGAAAGTAGGGAGACAGGAATCCTTCATACAGATAAACTGAAAAAAAAAAATTGAGATGTTCCCTGAATTTACTACTCTGTGTCCGTCTCTGGCTCCGTGCTAGGTCTGCCTTAAAAGGGGGAATGCATAATAGAAAATGACATAGAACACAAGTGACGAAGGGAGAAAGTAAATAGAGAACTTTCTGAGCAGCTCGCTCCTTTTTCTTTCAAGACAAGCAAGAGACAGACAAGCACTGACTACCATATATACATTGCAAAACTGGATACGAGGCGGTATTCCAAAACTGTTTAAACACCACCTTAAATGGAATTGTTTAGAATAGGTGGTCAGTGGTGAAATAATTCGTCGAACGAAATGAGGAAATACTTCAGCCTTCACAGGTCACCATGTTTCTCATCTAGTGATTTTGTTGTAACAGTGTTACACAATGAACCTTTGACTGTATTCATTCTCAGTGATTGTTCCACATTATTTTTTTGTATTTGCAATAGCGCAATTTTATGTATCAGTTTCCGTCATCATCTGAGATAATTTGCATTAGTTGATTTTAAAATAACAGAACTAGTGAATGAAATTTTGACACTTCCAACGAAATGCACTCAGTTTAGTTTTGCATTAAACAATGTGTCGTATAAAGTTACATGTACGCATCTTATTTTAAGTGGTATTTCAGTTTGATATCAAATATGGATGAATCATCAACTCTTTCTGCAAGCTGACATTGGAATTTTCTCCCTCACTCATTCACGCTTGAGTTGCTTCCGTACGCTCCTGACATTTTTTTTTCAGATTTTTGTGAATATACATGTTCGCATCTGCCAACGCTGATATGCAATCTCGTGGTGGATTAAAAGTCACAGGCAATTTTTCCTTAATTTATATTTCGTACATCTTTACGTCTTTTCAGTGCATTTTTAGATAATTTTAACGCTAATGAAACAAAAACAAAAACTAAACAAATAAATAATATAAAACAAAACAAACAGAAACTTATTCTTGGTTACTTTTTCTCTCAAAATATTTTCATATTTGTCTTTGCACATATTGAAAACTGCTCATAGGAAAAAAGTGTATTGATTGTCAAAGAAAACTTCAGATAACTCTCTTTCATAACGTAATGTTTTGTTTCAGTAGCGCGTTACAAATGACTTAACTTAAAAATGTAGAAAGTCATGGAATATAGCGGGGAAAACGCTAATGACATTGGACTATATATTATTAGTTATACAGGTCTTTGGCAGGGTACATGGTCTCATGTTCGCTGTCAGGACCTTATGTAGTTCTCCTGTTGATTTCATGAGTATGGCAGAAAACCTATATTATCGGTTCATTCTGCCATGTGATAGAAATATTGATGTTATTCAACGGGAAACTAATAAAACTCCTCTATATACGCCTATCCGTACAGTAGAAAAAGGCACAGTACTTGTCTCAGGAACGAAACTTAGCGAACGAAACCAGTTTAGACAAGTTATAGCTCTAATTAAAGCTTGAGGAGCGATCTTCCAAATTCTTCCGACATTCACGAAATCGTCTTCCGTTTCACCCCTTTAAATTTCACTGTCAGTCCCTGGGGTATTTAAGGAAAAATACGATGATGTAAGGTAACAAAATAACATGACGTCGCAATATTAGCTAAATATAATAGGAGTGATCACGTGCAAATCAGGATTAAAAAGCAGGTTACACATGCTGATTATAATCCCTTTTCAGTTATTGAAAGGACGTGGGGAAAAAGAACTAGCCCTTTCGTAGGGGGAATGCCAAAGACATCTGAACCCTTGAGGTGATATGCTTATATGAACAATACTTTGCTTTTAGCAAGCCTCGGGCTAAATAGAATAGCACCCCTTGGGTTGAGATTATTCTATCATACACTCAACGGTAGTTGAATTATTAATGTGTTCTATCTCGGATCTTGTCAAGTCGGAAAATGCACATAACAGTGTCGAGTGAAATTCCAACATGTTGGTTCATGACTGCTACACCAAAATTTGGTTTGTTTGTGTTTTTCGTCCTATTTACACATATGGTCATTTATGGACGTGCCTGGTTTTGGTGGTGGAGGAAAGCCGGAGTTCCCGGATAATAACCACTGACCTAAGGACAGTACCTGGCGACTGCCCCACGTAGGCTTCGAACCCGCGACCCAGTGGTGGAAGGCTAGTGGTAGCAGAATGTCAGACGCTTTAACCACTTGGCCACTGCAACCAGTAAAATTGCTGAATAGACATTTCCGTAGACTTGATTACCTGTCTTAGTACAATTTCTCTCCGCTAGGCTGCGCTTATGATATAATTTCGAAGCGAAGCCTACCGAAGCGTAGAAAAACTACGGCAGGCAATCCAGACTAGACATTTTTTTGTACAGGCTGTCCGTCTGGCTGGGTATCACACACCAATAAATGCTATCTTCTGAGCTCCTTCACGACGTCATGGCCAACCGCAGAGGTATGTACTTTACAAAAAGAGCACGTACCATGGGTTATTATTTTATCGGTATCAACCATTTTATATGATGTAAATTTACTGTGGAGAAGATCATTTGGAAAATATCCACCATACCTCTTTTTTAATTAAATATCGATACAGGATGACTTTCCTTAAAGACCCCTGTCCCGCTTCACTGTGTTTTCTCCCGTATATATACATAGTAATCTAGCTCCCTTTAACCTCCGTTTCCGTTTGGATATGAATTTAGCTTGGTTGGGCTAGAAAAAAACACTTTCGTTGACCAGGTAAACTGTAGCTCAATTGGTTATAGCGATAGTATAGCCATTTAATATGACCCGGTGTTAAAATCCCGGTGTAATAAAACCTGATTAATTGTATCCACTCAGAACACTATTGTTGGTTGAAATTTGTTTATTTCATCTTTATTATTTCTCATAAAAGTCCCGCACGGTATGGTTTTCTTCTCAAAGTTACAGTCTTCCTGCAAAAACAACCATGTCCTATGCGGAGTTACAGTTTTTGGCAGCGGTACGGGGATCCTTAAAAAAACCTTTTCGCTAATGAACATAATTATGCCTATTACTACCTTTTTTGAACACCCATTTTAATTATGTTACAAACTTATTCAAAGCGCGTTTGATTTTTTCCTCTTCCTTAACGAAAATCAAATTATAATGTGTTTTTCGTCCTATTTACACATATGGTCATTTATGGACGTGCCTGGTTTTGGTGGTGGAGGAAAGCCGGAGTTCCCGGATAATAACCACTGACCTAAGGACAGTACCTGGCGACTGCCCCACGTAGGCTTCGAACCCGCGACCCAGTGGTGGAAGGCTAGTGGTAGCAGAATGTCAGACGCTTTAACCACTTGGCCACTGCAACCAGTAAAATTGCTGAATAGACATTTCCGTAGACTTGATTACCTGTCTTAGTACAATTTCTCTCCGCTAGGCTGCGCTTATGATATAATTTCGAAGCGAAGCCTACCGAAGCGTAGAAAAACTACGGCAGGCAATCCAGACTAGACATTTTTTTGTACAGGCTGTCCGTCTGGCTGGGTATCACACACCAATAAATGCTATCTTCTGAGCTCCTTCACGACGTCATGGCCAACCGCAGAGGTATGTACTTTACAAAAAGAGCACGTACCATGGGTTATTATTTTATCGGTATCAACCATTTTATATGATGTAAATTTACTGTGGAGAAGATCATTTGGAAAATATCCACCATACCTCTTTTTTAATTAAATATCGATACAGGATGACTTTCCTTAAAGACCCCTGTCCCGCTTCACTGTGTTTTCTCCCGTATATATACATAGTAATCTAGCTCCCTTTAACCTCCGTTTCCGTTTGGATATGAATTTAGCTTGGTTGGGCTAGAAAAAAACACTTTCGTTGACCAGGTAAACTGTAGCTCAATTGGTTATAGCGATAGTATAGCCATTTAATATGACCCGGTGTTAAAATCCCGGTGTAATAAAACCTGATTAATTGTATCCACTCAGAACACTATTGTTGGTTGAAATTTGTTTATTTCATCTTTATTATTTCTCATAAAAGTCCCGCACGGTATGGTTTTCTTCTCAAAGTTACAGTCTTCCTGCAAAAACAACCATGTCCTATGCGGAGTTACAGTTTTTGGCAGCGGTACGGGGATCCTTAAAAAAAACTTTTCGCTAATGAACATAATTATGCCTATTACTACCTTTTTTGAACACCCATTTTAATTATGTTACAAACTTATTCAAAGCGCGTTTGATTTTTTCCTCTTCCTTAACGAAAATCAAATTATAATGTGTACAATATCATTTTTAGAGTTATTGCCGTACCTTTTCTGCAAAACTTGCCGAACCAATGGACCAATCCTCTGTTAACTTCCTTAGCGGTGAAGTTAAAGGAAGCGCACGTTAGTATGTCTTATCTTTTCTGACGACCTCCCGTTTACCGTACAAACGTGTGTATTATGTATAAGTTGGCATCATTCAATCAGCTTATTTTTTCAGTCATTATACTTTCTTTTGTAACTGTATTCATTTTCTTATATCTATTGTTTATTTAAAATATGTATTTCACGTAACTCTTCATGTTTGGAGGAATAAAGATATGAATGAATGAATGTAGCATATATACAAAAAATCAACAAGTGTTACATGTTTAATTAAAAGAAATATGTGTACATGTATATATATCCTCTCAAACAGATATAAGCCTTCGTTTCTTATTTGTTTGTGCTTGGGCAGCATTGAAAAACACGAATTATTATATTGGCGGAGGGGACTTGTTCGTGGAAGGAGAGTGGATATGGATGTCAACACAGGCACCCATTAGTGTTACCAACTGGAATACAGGAGAACCGAATGACCTCGGAGGACAAGAAGATTGCCTGGAGATAATTCCGCCTACAGGGCTGTGGAATGATATCCTTTGTAGCGTGCAGCAAGGTTTCATATGTGAAATGGAGTAAGTCCTATGTAGATATATATCTTTATATACAAGCAGAAAATTATCCTTACGGACGAAGAAATAACATAAAAACTTTCATCTCTTCAAGGCGATTCTTTAGACTCTGAAATAAAGTCTTAAGAATCGCCTTAAAGAGAAGAAATTACTTCAGACTCGTTGTTGAGATTTTTTTATATATAATATTTATATATATACATATGTTAACTCGTGAAAAGTCCCCATATTTCTTTAGGCCGAAGGCTGAGAGATATATATTCTTTAGAGGGTTTGCAAATACCCGTCTTATCTTTCAAAACACATTGCATGCAGAATGTTTTCATCATAACACAAGTACACCCATACTATAAACAAGGTCGCTTACTTCATTGCCCAAGTAAAATGACCCCGTTCCAGAAAACAAGCGAATTTGTGATACTAAATGAAACATCGAAAAATGGTCGCTTTTCAGTTGGTTGGACACTGCTAGCCATGGCATGACACGATAAATCCCTAGTGGGTAGCGTAAAACACACAGTCTTGTCAGTATAGTGTTTCTACGATAGGAAACAAACTTACTTGTAAGATATATAGTTCATGCCCTTACATTAGCATGTAGGACACCCAAGTCAAAGTTTTCAAGCTTGTCAGGCTGACGATCTTTTTGTTTTTACCTCGACGCTGATTGGCTCCTCATTTTAGACCCCAATCAACAGAAATATAGAAAGAAAGTTTTATTTCTTAATTTGTTTTTGACCTAACTATGTTTCATATTTTTTGGTTTAATTTTGTTTCAGTAACGAATATGCCCAAAGTCTAATTGGGTAATGCATCAGTTTGAGAACGTCGATTTTGTTGCGGAGTCACTCAACAGCAACAACATTGTTTATATATTTTTCGAATACCAATATAATGGAAATACATTAAACTGATCCTTAAATAAAACAAAGTGTAATAGTTGTTTTTTGAAACCTTGCCATGGTGTAAGACTAATGCGAAAGTCTATCTACTTAGACAGATCCCAGAGATCACAAATCTTTATCATTCACGCACCGGGAAATCTATTGACAAAGAATGACAGAGTCCATTGCATGACAGAGTCTATAGTCCTAGACAAATGGAGAAATGCGTGGAAACACACTAACGTAAACGTCTAAAATACAACCCGTGGACTCAAGGCTATCGCAAAAGTCCATGTAATTAGACTTTACTCGCGCGGACGTCCACTTGTAACTAGATTTACGCGGACGTCCACCTGTACGTGAAATTGAGAAGACGTCCTGATATAAGTTCACTTGAGCCGACGTCCATATGTGAGAAGACTTGTGTGTAGGTGTCAATATGTAGGTTGATAGGCGCATGCGCGGACGTTTATATGTAAGTAAATATGGACAGTCATCCATTGCGTAACTTGCGCAGTTGTCTTCGTGTAGCTTATCTTATGTTGACTTTTTATGTAATTATATATATAAGTCCACATGTAAGTAGTCTTTCACAGACATCTACATGTAAGTAGAGTAAAGACGCGCAAAGGTCCACAAATAAGTAGACTTCCGCCGACGATAACATGTAAGTAAACTTGCACGCACATCCACATGTAAGTTAACTCGAGCACACGTCCAGGTTCAATTAAACACGCGCAGGTGTGATATGAAACTAGCCTTTGTTGAAGTTTAAGGAGTTCTACCCATGCGAATTTTTTTAGACCTTAACTCGCCGGGAAAATCTGGACAGAAGGCGCTGTAACTATGGGTTACCATGGATGTTACACATACAAGAACTCTCGGAGAAGGGAGATGCGATAAACCTCTCCAGTCGTTTGATATCACATCAAGATAGATATTGAGAACAAGTTTGTCCTTTATTAACAAAATTTAGCCAGGTGCTTTACCGTCTACATCCTCACGTTGATCTCGACATTTACATACAGTAAAACAATACAGATTACGGTACCTTTCCGGCAAACTGAAAAACGGTAGCAGTTTATGGTAGGTTAGTATGAATGACGAAATCAGTTTTAATAAGGTTTCAGTTTTTATCATTCAGTAAAGAATTTTGTTTGAGATTAGAACAAAAGTGTGAGAAGAACAAGTCGTAGCCAATGGCTGTTTGTATTCCTCGTAAAACAAATAAAGAATCATATTAACAACAAAGCCAAATCAGCTCGGACGTAGTGCTACAGCCTAACAGTTCATGTGCTACAAAAATCATCGTTACAAGCCTACACGTCAGTAATTTAGACATACACGATTGTACCAGAAAGCCACGGGTATACCGGTCGGTGTGATTCAGTCTTCCGCTGCCAGAGCCCGCCGTTCTCGTGCTACCCGCCGCTGTTCGATGGACTCGGCGTACAGTATGAGGAAGAACAAGACGCTGTACAGGATCATGTAGGGGAAGAACCCACTGGAGATCAGCATGATGGAAAAGGTGTATCCGCTCCACACTACCGCCATAACGGACCTGTTCGGACATCTGACCACGTCGGACACGACGCCACAAACGTCCATCGCGATGTGTCTAAGAATTGATGTAAATGAAAAGACGGGCATACTCTGTACCACGTTTTGCTGTTGCTGTTCAAGTTGATTGTCTCGGGTTGTTGTGAAGCTTGCGTCGGATTCCTCTGACGTGCTGCCACAGCTTGACGTCGCCCTGACGCGTCGTCGCTCTACTTGGTTGTTTATGGTGTCCACCTCACTGCTGGACATGACAGGAAGCAGCTGTCGCACGGGAACCTCTCCGTATTCCGTTCGGGACACCTCTTCATTATCCCCTTCCTCTTCGCTGCCTTCATCTGCACTTTGTGACGCAACCGATCTAACCTGGACAGTTTGGGTTCTAATCTGAAATACAATGAAAGACAACTTGGATCATGGAAACCAGTTGTGGCATCCGCAGTTATACGGCATCATTTGAAGAGTTAGGGGAAAAGCGAACGAGACTCTACTCGAACGTACACAATAAGTCAAAAACTGATTCGTACTGGAGCTAAGAGAGCAAGAGTGATCGTTTTATATCCTGTTGACTCATTATAGTACACTCTATAGCAAGAATAAGAGTGCCCCCCCCCCCCCCCCCCACACACACACACACACACACACACACACACATTACGTACTAACACATCAAAAATCGAATTGCTCCACTCACCGGAAGTTTGATATGAACTTTACTTGTATCATGGATCTAAAGAATCAGTTGCTATTACTGACATGCTTGATTATAGAGACCATATTCTCAAAAAAAATAACAATCACAGAAAAATACCTAAAACATGTTTAGAGATATTTTCAAAACACAATAAAATTCAAACACAGGGCTTCCACGCTTCTGTTCTTTTAAACCTCGATACATATTTTTCAAAGTTCTTTTTTGTATTATAAATTATTGTAACGGAACGTGGTCAAAACATTTTTAGCATCTAGTTTTCTTTAAAAAAAAAAAGGAAAAAATCGTCTAGCTACGCTTGGAATTTGATTTAATTTAACTGTTCCTCTTAGGAAATAATGTTGAAATTGAAAAACAACTTAACGAAATTTCTTTTTGATTAAATTATGAAAATAAAATACATTATGATAATGCCCCAGGTCGCATAAGAGCGCATCTAATTTTCATTTGTTTTGATGTGAAAATGACACCGGATCCCCCGCGCGTTCGGCCTGAGCGGTATTAACAGACAACTTAAAACAATTCTGACCCCTTCCACCTTCAAAATTCAAAAGGCGCGTGTTTGAGGGATAGGGCGTTTCCTTACCACACTCTGTTCACTGAGCCAGTTTTCCACGAACTCCTGAAGGCAATAGTTGACCGTCAGCTGTCGCTTTCTGATGTTCTTTGCGCTGAGTGGACGACGGCAGGTTGGGCAGTGCAACTTGACTTGGTTGGGATTTAAACCAGGGTTGTGCTCTCCGGCATTCCTCGCCAGGTGACCAAGACATCTACAGTTTGTAAAAACCAAAGTTAAGCCAGCGCAATACCATGCATTCTAAAGGCAAACAGGCCACACCATATTTTGTAAAAAAAACACCACTTTCCACAGCAAAACCTTTCACATATCATAATTAACAAACAATCAGAGAAAGTGTCCCAACGAACTTTGCTCATGCATTCAAGATAATTATATAGCTTCCTTTAAATAACTTGGACAGTATCATGCAAAATTGAAGGCCGTCAGCATTTTTTCTTATACATTTCATGTATTTTTACATTTTAAAGTGTCTTTTTATGAAATCAGTTGTCATGCTACCGAAACAAAGGATGAGTGTCTTTAAGGCCCTTTTTTGGGAGCATACAGCCGGAGCTGCCATTTAGGCGCTAACAGCTAGCATTCAACAATTCTAGCACTGCCCAACCATCCGGCGTCCTACCACTAGACAAACGTGCCTCTCGTAAACAAATCTTACTTAACAAATTTGGTGAGATAAAGAACAAAATGGGGCGATAAAATTTATGTTCATTCAGTAATTTGTCACATCTAGCAAATTAATATAAAGAAAGAACTATACTAAAGAAAATATTGTGAAGGAAAATGTAATTCCCTTTTAAGATACAATTTTGTTTTATCGCTGACTTTAGGAAAATTCACTAAAAGGGTGGAAATGCATGATATATAAAAGGGGAAAACACGCGTGACCGTTGATTGGGCACAGAACATGGAAAAATATCTCTTTGTCAAATCGACGCAATTCGCAATAAAAACTGAAAGTCTAATATTCCAACCAATTCTTCACTTAATTATTAAGTTATAGATTTATATCTTGCACTCCACTTACACGGGGGTAATCCCGATACTCGAGGTAATGGCTTCCGTCAGTAGTTCGATATTGGTAATATACATAAATCACTTAGTTAACGGAATCGGTGTCATCCTAGTTGTTATTTTGTCGGTATCCGTAGCATTCATATAGTGGCCTCCTCATCTGTACCAATTAAAACTATATGAGGTTTTGCAAAATGCAATAAAATATGTAACAGAAAACTCATCGATCATTAAATCTGAACAGAAAAGCTCTGACGGAAGTCGTATACAGCGCCAAATAAACTAAAACGTATAAACTTACTCAGAACACCTTAGTTTAAGTCTTAGGTCCAAATATAGCTGTACCGAATTATCAGGTCCCTGTGCTTGCTCCGACGGAATCCATTCCGCGTTAATTCTTCTAGTGCTCTGACGAAAGTACGAGAATCAGGATTACCCCGTGATCGAATGATTCAAAAACCGAATAATAAGTTTTTTCCTCGGGATAGATCTATATTGGCAGAGAATCTCGGAATCAATTCGACGCAATATATGCAATAACTTTTTCAAATATGAGCATTTACCTGATGCAGAAGCTATGACCACATTTTAGCGTGTGTGGATTGTTGTAGTAATCCAAACAAATGCTGCACTTCAGGGATTTGTACCAATGTCTGTTTATGGGCTCCAAAACTTCCGAGTCTTGCGACATCTTACAAACGCATTATCATTGTCGCCACGGCAACACACGTGACGTCATCAACAAGAAGCGTGGAGCGTCAGTTTTGATGACGTGAAAAACAAATGTAAATGGTCTTCAATGGCGTAATGATCGGTTAGGCTATATAATGGATGACAATGTTGAAAGGCCTGTCAAACAACGTGAAAAACATGTACGATTTTTATTGGACGAAGAGAGAAACGCCAGGCCAAAGCAGCAATATAGAAAAACCCCGAAGAAGCTGCATGCGCACCAACCACAGCAGCGCCACGCTGGTAAAACGGAGTTCGGTGACGAAGCCAGAAAAGACAATCAAATCGCAGAAATGTATCGAAGAGTGATACAGATGACGGAAGAGGCAAACAAGTTGAAAATTGAGACTTGCCAACTCGTTGGAGATTATTCTGAGCTCGGGAAAAAGTTTTCTAGTCTTGAGAAAGAGAAGAAAGATTTCGACGACGAAGTTGACAGACATGTTCAAGAAATAGACGAAAAGCGGTATTTAAATGGTCTTATCCATCATTTAGAAGAAGTCGACCGGAACATGACATTTGAACCGTGCGAAGTATTGGGATCTTCAGTCAGTGATGGATTCTTGCAGAACAGAGGTTCGCTCTCTGAAATATGATGAGCGACATTAACAGTAATCATGGTTGTATGTATGTCCATATTTCTTATGATACCATTAAAATTAAATTAAAATGTTCTATCAAACTACACATTATTTATGTAAATGTTTCAATTGACTTTATGCCTTACGTACACTAAACATCGTCGTTCGCGTCGGACGTGTATAGAACTCTTGTACACAAAACAGACAAGAAGTTGTCAGAAAATACATAAGGGTTGTACCAGCTATCGTCTTTGGTGTTTTGCATAAAAGGACGTGGGGCAACCGTCCTTACTTTAACGGTTGTAAAAATATGGTGCTCTTGCTATCAAGCTCTAGGTAATGTTTCCTATCGGGCCCCAGCCCTGCAACAGCCCTGCAGCATAACTACGTACTAGCCTTACCGCCTGGCCGGAATAACTGGATAACTTAGATAATGCCCATTTTCTACTCAATGGAAGAAATCTTTGATATTTTATAGAATGTGAAAACGAGTGTTTTCTACCTCTACCAACCAGCTGTCCATTTACGCATTTTATGTTTTTCTTCTCGAATGCAAGAAAGAATTTTCTTTTCAATATGAAGCGGTCAGATCTTGGAATATTTCACTTTCATTGCCACATAATAACATGAGTTATCTCACTGTACATTTCCAAATCTTCTAAACCACATCCTCGAAATTCAAGGTGTACGAATTCGAAGTTACATGTACGTTCACGTACGTTCTCTGCATCAAGCGCGCTGAGAAAGTAAGTTAGCCTGTTAATCTCTAGAATTTCTTTGGTGTCTGAATCATTTCATTTGAAAAGAACAAAATACTTTATAAAGTACGAGGAAAATGTTTTCATATTCAATTTAAATAACGTTTCCCTGATTTTCTTTCGGGACGACTCCACGATTACAGCATTATCGTTTGAGAGTTCATTCATAATCTTAAAAATCGAGAAACCAAATTAAGTGTGAAAGAAAATTTCTTCACCTCGAATGTCTGACAAAGCACAGGTACTGGTCATAGGTTATTGTTCATATTGGGTGGTGCTCCACTATATGTAGTATATAGCAACCAATAGGAAAATAAATTGTGACCAGTACCTGTGGGACAAAGAAATCTCCTGAGGAGTACGTTTCTTGAACTCGGGGCCTGTCGCTGGTGTAACACACAATCTTGTCACGCAGGTTGATTTTTTTGTCACACTCTCAAAACATGAAAGGGTGATTTAATAGGGAAGAACGTTGTTTTCTACGAAAAACGCACAACTGTTATATATGACACCTTCTATACTTGCGAAAAATGATGTCATTCAATTGTCTTCAGTTGTGTAGTCAAAAGTGCGTGTGTCTTGACTATAGCCTTAGAATATCAGATATATCACCAATGGTTAAAGCAGGATCCAAATAAGTTAAGTGCAAAAGACATGAAGAAGACACTTCAATGAAGTGTAGAAGACACATCATTGAAATCAGAGAGTGACATTAGTAAAGGGAGAGAGTGACATTAGTAAAGGGAGAGAGTGACATCAGTGAAGGGAGAGAGTAACATCAGTGAAGGGAGAGAGTGACATCAGTGAAGGGAGAGAGTGACATTAGTAAAGGGAGAGAGTGACATCAATGAAGGGAGAGAGTGACATCAGTGAAGGGAGAGAGTGACATTAGTAAAGGGAGAGAGTGACATCAATGAAGGGAGAGAGTGACATCAGTGAAGGGAGAGAGTGACATTAGTGAAGGGTAGAAGACACATCAGTGAAGGGAGAGAGTGACATCAATGAAGGAAGAGAGTGACATTAGTGAAGGGAGAGAGTGACATCAGTGAAGAGAGAGAGTGACATTAGTGAAGAGTAGAAGACATATCAGTGAAGGGAGAGAGTGACATCAGTGAGGGGAGAGAGTGACATTAGTGAAGAGTAGAAAACACATCAGTGAAGGGAGAGAGTGACATCAATGAAGCGAGAGAGTGACATCAGTGAAGGGAGAGAGTGACATTAGTAAAGGGAGAGAGTGACATCAGTGAAGGGAGAGAGTGACATTAGTGAAGAGTAGAAGACACATCAGTGAAGGGAGAGAGTGACATCAGTGAAGGGAGAGAGTGACATCAATGAAGGGAGAGAGTGACATCAGTGAAGGGAGAGAGTGACATCAGTGAAGGGAGAGAGTGACATCAGTGAAGGGAAAGAGTGACATCAATGAAGGGAGAGAGTGACATCAGTAAAGGGAGAGAGTGACATCAGTGAAGGGAGAAAGTGACATCAGTGAAGGGAGAGATTGACATCAATGAAGGGAGAGAGTGACATTAGTAAAGGGAGAGAGTGACATTAGTAAAGGGAGAGAGTGACATCAGTAAAGGGAGAGAGTGACATCAGTAAAGGGAGAGAGTGACATCAGTGAAGGGAGAGAGTGACATTAGTGAAGGGTAGAAGACACATCAGTGAAGGGAGAGAGTGACATCAGTGAAGGAAGAGAGTGACATTAGTGAAGGGAGAGAGTGACATCAGTGAAGGGAGAAAGTGACATCAGTGAAGGGAGAGAGTAACATCAGTAAAGGGTAGAAGACACATCAGTGAAGGGAGAGAGTGACATCAGTGAAGGTTAGAAGACACATCAGTAAAGGGTAGAAGACACATCAGTGAAGGGTAGAAGACACATCATAGATGAGGAGAAGACACATCAGTGAAGGGTAGAGGACACATCAGTGAAGGGTTGAAGACACATCAGTGAAGGGTAGAAGACACATCGTTGAAGAGGAGAAGACACATCAGTGAAGGGTAGAAGACACATCATTGAAGAGGGGAAGACACATCAGTGAAGGGTAGAAGACACATCGTTGAATAGGTGAAGACACATCAGTGAAGGGTAGAAGATACATCGTTGAAGAGGAGAAGACACATCAGTGAAGGGTAGAAGACACATCATAGAAGAGGAGAAGACACATCAGTGAAGAGGAGAAGACACATCAGTGAAGGGTAGAATACACATCAGTGAAGGGTGGAAGACACATCAGTGAAGGGTAGAAGACACATCGTTGAAGAGGAGAAGACAAATCAGTGAAGGGTAGAAGACACATCATTGAAGAGGTGAAGACACATCAATGAAGGGTAGAAGACACATCATTGAAGAGGAGAAGACACATCAGTGAAGGGTAGAAGACACATTGTTGAAGAGGAGAAGACACATCAGTGAAGGGTAGAATACACATAATTGAAGAGGAGAAGACACATCAGTGAAGGGTAGAAGACACATCATTGAAGGGTAGAAGACACATCATTGAAGGGTAGAAGACACATCAGTGAAGGGTAGAAGACACATCATTGAAGAGGAGAAGACACATCAGTGAAGGGTAGAAGACACATCATTTGAGAAGGAAGACACATGAAGACAGTGTAGTGAGAGAGTGACATCAGTGAAGGGAGAGAGTCACATCAGTGAAAGGTAGAAGACACATCAGTGAAGGGAGGGGTACACATCAGTGAAGGGAGAGAGTCACATCAGTGAAGGGAGGGATACACATCAGTGAAGGGAGGGAGACACATCAGTGAAGGGAGAAAGTGATATTCGTGAAGGGTGTGAGACATATTAGTGAAAGATTTGAAACTCATCAGTCAAGGGAGAGAAACACTTCAGTGAATGGTGGAAGACACATCAGTGAAGCTTCTGGGACGCATCATTTAAGGGTACAAAGCACATCCTTTAAGTGAGGGAGGCACATTTATAAAGGAATAGAGACATCATTCGAATGTTTGAGAGATATCAGTAAAGAGTAAGAGTCACATCAGTGAAAGACGTGAGACACATCAGTGAAAGCGGTGAGACACATCAGTGAAGGGGGTGAAACACATCAGTGAATGGTGTCTGACACATCGGTGAGAATATGAGACACATCAGTGAAAAGTGTGAGACACATCAGTGAGAATATGAGACACATCAGTGAAAAGTGTGAGACACATCAGTGAGAATATGAGACACATCAGTGAAAGACGTGAGACACATCAGTGAAAGGATGGAGACACATCAGTGAAGGGGGTGAAACACATCAGTGAATGGTGTCTGACACATCAGTGAGAATATGAGACACATCAGTGAAAAGTGTGAGACACATCATCAGTGAAGTATGCGAGACACATCAGTGAAAGGATGTGGACACATCAATGAAGAGTGTGAGACACATACCTGGCCTTAATGCAAAAGAATATAACCGGCCGGGCGTAATTGCCAATTTGAAGAAGTTGGTACTGTCTGCAGATATAATTATCGGTCGTACATTTAGTTTGATCGAATCTTTTACTAACAAGGAGGGTAGGAAGGACACTTTCCGCACAGACGTTCTGCATGAGAGAGTTTTGCAATTTATTTCTCCTTGTGGGTTACTTTTTCTGTATGTACACTTCATCCCAATATTTAAAAAAAAATGTACACTGACAAAATCAAATCTCACCCAAAATCAAGCTAATTGATCTTTCTTTATCTCGTTCAATTTACCTCGTAACTTCATCCAATATTTGGCACCATTTGCGACTTGCTTGTGCAAAGGAAATATTATTCAGCCTTCCTGTCGTGTCTCCCACTGTACCTAGGGAAGTGTATCAGAAATGTTCGTGGATAGCCTAACCCTTAAAAGCTCTGTTCCCCGCAACGACGGTTCGCTAAACACAACTCTTTTTATTACGTCAAAACCAAAATTAGGTCATTAGATATTGTGACGTCGTAAAATTGGCGCCATTTGAGACGATGGAATTGCCGCCCCAAACCTGTCGCCCTTAAAAATATCAAAATTAGATAAATGAGCGGTTTCGTGCAATAAAGTTTACCGAGAAAACCATAACATCACATTTAGTCAAGAACTCTTTCATATTACACAAACACGTATTTTTAGTTAAGTCACAATTACACCTTTTAATTATATTTTGATGGGAGCTGATGGAAATTCACAATAATTGTTTTGCATATAAGTGTAAACTAACCTCAAATGACAGTAGGTTTTGAGGAGTGAAATCCGGCTACAACATCCGAAGAAATAATTTGTCGATAATCACATAGTTTGTTTTAAGAATGTATGTTCCTTGTGATCCTTATTTGTGCTGGGATCAATATTTGACTTCGCAAAAATAAACAATGACAAAAATCCATATCTTAAGTTAGCATATGTATACAAACAACTGTAAGACAACAGCATATTGATCTCAAAGATCGAAAATATATCTTTATTAAAACTAACAGGGAGAAACAGATCTCCTCGGCGTTCCTGTTATTGTACAAAGTACATGGTATAACATACCCGCGGTGTAAAATGCCGATATTCGGGTATGGTGATAAATTCATAAAAATAGAGTTTGTCCTTCTTCAAAAATATAAAAAATATGTTCTTCAATTCGAAACAAACGGTTATCTTTCGTAATTCTTAATGATTACAGTAATTTTGTTCTATATTTAGTATGCACCTGCCCAACCCCAGTCTATTTTCCGCCATCGTTGCTCAACGAATATTTTGCCATCTCTAAATTTTAACTCGGTATCAAAGCCATCCTTCTTCTTCAAAAAACTAGAAAACAACTGTTTGTTGCTTGCTTTGCGTGTCCCTGTATACGTATAACCTGCTTACTACTACTCCATATATGAATATCAGAGAAGGCAAAAATATACGGTTAAACAAAGTGTATCCCTCCCTACCCGTAAATGTGTCGCTCTCCCCAGTCTAAACCTCGACAATTAATGTTCTGTGTCTCAAAATTAGCACTCCGGATGTGTCTGCCAGGAGCTTGTGTTGTACGGAATCATCTGGAATGGCGGTGGGTAAATATTCAAATTGTTCCCGATCGAGAGAATCGCTGGATCAATAACACCGGGATCATTATGGTAAAATGGTTGGACTGGAAACACGGGAGGTGGCGCCACACGTTCCTTGCTACTTCCGGTGACTGATTTGAGTTCGTTGTACAACTCGTTTGTCTGGCATGCATTATTTTGAGAGCGTAAGGCCAATTGATTTTCTATGTAGTTCTGGTTCTCCATCCTTATACAATCTATTTCGTCCTTACATCCTTGAAGTATCGATGTTTTCGCCTTAGTAGCTATCATTAGAGAATCTAACTCCGAACTCATCTCGTCTATCCGTAGACCGGTCAGCGCGAAGGTTTCAGTGTTCGTAGAAGCGTCTACCTGTGTAAGAAACATAAGAACTATAATAGGTTTAGCTTGTAAACAAATATATACTTTTTCCGTAATAAACGTATCTACTTACTCCCCCACCCTTTGCAGATCGGGGGTCGAACACAGAATACAACTGCTGTTACCCACTGCATGTGTCGTATGAGGCGACTAACGAGGGGACACACTGCATAATTGATGGTTTGCTTTTGTGCGTTCTACTTGGGGACACAAAAGCGACCAAAAAAATCAGCTGCACCCATTGCAATCTTTTTATTTCTTTTTACTTCTATATACCTTTTATTTCCTAGCGCCTTGCTTGGCAACACCTCACTTTTTACTGTTAAACGTTCGCCCAGGGCCCGTATTCATTAAACCGTTCTCATGCTCAAGCACGGATTCTGTGCCTAAACCAGCATTCTTATAACTCACTTAAATCATGTCAGACAGCCAAAAAGTAAACATTGAAAACAGTATTCAGCTTTGAGTTTCTTCAATTACTTTCCAAATCATTGACAAAATAAGATTATATTTTCAATTTATAACCGGAGCAAGAAAATAAGCTTGAACACAAAATCCATGCTTAAGCATGAGTGGAGCATACACAACATACATGGAGGTACGCCCTTAAATTACCTTAGCTGTTGATAAGATGTTTATGAAAATAAAACCAAACCAAACCCCTCCCTCTGCGCCTACGTATATTTCATTCCAACAAATGTTCTTCGAGATGTTTCTTTTCAAATCCTTTCAACACCAGATTGCATGTTTTGAAAAATAATGAGTTGCATCCTTTCTCACAACTCGAAATCTACTTGTGTCATCCTATGTTATAGGTGTTGTCTCTTCCTTGTGCTATGTTATTGTTTACATGAGGTCATAGTGTTGTCTCTTCCTTGTGCTATATGCCGTTGCAGATAAATCGTCACAAAGGTTAAACAGGAGAACATTCTATGAATGACTGGAGATCATGAAGTCAACTTCGTGTGCACAGCTACGTTGAGCAAGAGAAAGGTACCAAGTTGATATGACACTGACCTGAGAACGAGGCTGTCTCATTTGTTGATATGACTCAATGATTGACATGAGGACGAAGTTAGGCACGACACCATTGGTCTTGGTCATGAGGTTTGTGTAGGCGATACCACAGCGACAGTTCGGACACGGCACGTTCGTCTCCATTAGTAGGAACGGATTCTTTACCTGGCGCTTCTTGTGTTTCGCCAAATCCAGGAGACAACTGTAAATGGATATCACATCTATTGTACTAAAACCGAGGACCCGAAGACAGTTGTAGGGAGGCAGGACTCAAATCAGATCAGTTCAAAATATCTTTTAAATCTAACATAGTAACAATGCTGTAGCCTTAAAACACACAATAGTCACGCATAAGCTTTGTTAGCTGATGATACATGTTTAAGTTCAAATAACATCAGAAGACATATTTGAAAACGAAAATTTAGCTTTTTTACGTTGTCCAAAATGGCGGATGCGAGGACTGTGCGGCGTAAGTGAGTATTGTGCAAAAGTTTTCAAACCGTGAACCGTTTTGAGTACGGTCGGGATTTGCAAAAACCAGGAATGCTAACTGGGGATGTTAGAACTGTTACACTTAGCGATATTCTTCTTTTGATGGACCACAACTGAACATCATTTATCCTCTGAATTTCAATGAATGAATTAGAAATGATGGTTTGATGATCCGATTAGGAAGATTACAGATAGTAATTTATTCTCCAATCCCTGTGGTTACTGCCGTATCAACTTTATTTTTATGTGATATTTTCGACACAATACAGGTTATTACTTTTTCTTTACTACACAATTGAGCCTTATATAGACACTGTCTAAACTATTGGTGGAGTATTGCGTAAAAAGAAGAAAACTTACTTGTAACAAAACGTGTGCCCACACGGCAAGGCAGTCGGGTCGTTGTAGATCTCCATACAGATGCAGCATTTAAGTTGTTGAAGTAAGTGACCTCCAATCTGGTTCTCCAGATTGTCTAAGTCCATTCCGAATACGTATAGACACTTAAACAAAATAAAAACGTATCTAACCTAGGACCGTAAAATAATCGCGAGTGAACCCTCCCAACTGTAACAGAAAAGTAACTTGTTGTTATTCACATAGCAACCTGGAGACGTCACTGTTATTATGACGTCATAATGTTAAGGAAGGGAGATTAGTCTTTGCAGTTATCTTGGTTTATATGTATGATTACACCTGAAACAGAAAAAGGCATGGAATAAATAAATAAAGTACTTTATTGTTAATGAAAAAAAATATCGACTGTCAACCTTTTGGACTCCCATAGACCTGACTGTTAAAATTAAAACCTGGTAAGTATTTTGAGATTTTTTCTGAATTATATAGTGGTATTCAATGTATCAAATAGACATCAGCAAAACAGTCAAAAATTACAAGCTAGGGGTTGTGTCCAAGATACCGCAAAAATTAGTTTTGCACAATCCGCGAGAAGGTCAGTTTGGCGGGTGTACGTCAGGTTTATACATTATCGGTGAGGGTGTCAGTTTGTAGGGTGTACATAATCCGTGATAATGTCAGTTTGTAAGGTGTACATAATCCGCAATAATGTCAGTTTGTAAGGTGTACTGAGGGTGTCAGTTTGTCGAATGTACGTATTGTTTATACACAATCTGTAAGGGTGTCAGTTTGTCGGATGTACGTATTGTTTATACACAATCCGTGAGGGTGTCAGTTTGTCGGATGTACCTATTTTTAATACGCAATCCGTGAGGGTGTCAGATTGTCAGATGTACGTATTGTTTATACACAATTCGTGAGGGTGTCAGTTTGTCGGCTGTACGTAATGTTTATACACAATCCGTGAGGGTGTCAGTTTGTCGTATGTACGTATTGTTTATACACTATCCGTGAGGGTGTCAGTTTGTCGGATGTATGTATTGTTTATACACAATCCGTGAGGGTGTCAGTTTGTCGGATGTCCGTATCGTTTATACACAATTCGTGAGGGTGTCAGTTTGTCGGATGTACGTATTGTTTATACACAATTCGTGAGTGTGACAGTTTGTCGGCTGTATGTATTGTTTATACACAATTCGTGAGGGTGTCAGTTTGTCGGCTTTTCGTATTGTTTATACACAATCTATAAGGGTGTCAGTTTGTCGGATGTACGTATTGTTTATACTCAATCCGTGAGGGTGTCAGTTTGTCGGATGTCCGTATCGTTTATACACAATTCGTGAGGGTGTCAGTTTGTCGGATGTACGTACTGTTTATACACAATTCGTGAGGGTGTCAGTTTGTCGGCTGTGCGTAATGTTTATACACAATCCGTGAGGGTGTCAGATTGTCGGATGTACGTATTGTTTATACACAATCCATGAGGGTGACAGTTTGTCGGATGTACGTATTGTTTATACACAATCCGTGAGTGTGTCAGCTTGTCGGATGTACGTATTGTTTATACACAATCCATGAGGGTGACAGTTTGTCGGCTGTACGTATTGTTTATACACAATTCGTGAGGGTGACAGTTTGTCGGCTGTATGTATTGTTTATACACAATTCGTGAGGGTGTCAGTTTGTCCGATGTACGTATTGTTTATACACAATCCATGAGGGTGACAGTTTGTCGGATGTACGTATTGTTTATACACAATCGGTGAGGGTGTCAGTTTGTCGGGTGTACGTATTGTTTATACACAATCTGTGAGGGGGTCAGTTTGTCGGATGTACGTATCGTTTATACACAATTCGTGAGGTTGTCAGTTTGTCGGATGTACGTATTGTTTATATACAATCCATGAGGGTGTCAGTTTGTCGGATGTACGTATTGTTAATACACAATCCGTGAGGGTGTCAGATTGTCGGATGTACGTATTGTTTATACACAATCCATGAGGGGGACAGTTTGTCGGCTGTACGTATTTTTTATACACAATCCGTGAGGGTGACAGTTTGTCGGATGTACTGTGTCAGTTTGTCGGATGTACGTATTGTTTATATACAATCCATGAGGGTGTCAGTTTGTCGGATGTACGTATTGTTTATACTCAATCCATGAGGGTGTCAGTTTGTCGGATGTACGTATTTTTAATACTCAATCCGTGAGGGTGTCAGATTGTCGGATGAACGTATTGTTTATACACCATTCGTGAGGGTGTCAGTTTGTCGGATGTACGATGTACGTATTGTTTATACACAATCCGTGAGTGTGTCAGCTTGTCGGATGTACGTATTGTTTATACACAATTCGTGGGGGTGTCAGTTTGTCGGCTGTACGTATTGTTTATTCACAATCCGTGAGGGTGACAGTTGGTCCGTTGTCCGTATTGTTTATACACAATCCGTGAGGGTGACAGTTTGTCGGCTGTACGTATTTTTTATACACAATCCGTGAGGGTGTCAGATTGTCGGATGTACGTATTGTTTATACACAATTCGTGAGGGGGTCAGTTTGTCGGCTGTACGTATTGTTTATACACAATTCGTGAGTGTGACAGTTTGTCGGCTGTATGTATTGTTTATACGCAATTCGTGAGGGTGTCAGTTTGTCGGCTGTACGTAATGTTTATACACAATCCGTGAGGGTGTCAGTTTTTCGGATGTACGTATTGTTTATACACAATCCATGAGGGGGACAGTTTGTCGGCTGTACGTATTTTTTATACACAATCCGTGAGGGTGTCAGATTGTCGGATGAACGTATTGTTTATACACCATTCGTGAGGGTGTCAGTTTGTCGGATGTACGTATTGTTTATACACAATCCGTGAGGGTGTCAGTTTATCGGATGTACGTATTGTTTATACACAATCCGCGAGGGTGACAGTTTGTCGGATGTACGTATTGTTTATACACAATCCGTGAGGGTGTCAGTTTGTCGGATGTACGTATTGTTTATACACAATCCGTGAGGGTGTCAGTTTGTCGGATGAACGTATTTTTAATACACAATCCGTGAGGGTGTCAGATTGTCGGATGTACGTTTTGTTTATACACAATTCGTTAGGGTGTCAGTTTGTCGGATGTACGTATTGTTTATACACAATCCGCGAGGGTGTCAGTTTTTCGGATGTACGTATTGTTTATACACAATCCATGAGGGTGTCAGTTTTTCGGATGTACGTATTGTTTATACACAATCCATGAGGGTGATAGTTTGTCGGATGTACGTATTGTTTATACACAATCCGCGAGGGTGTCAGTTTTTCGGATGTACGTATTGTTTATACACAATCCATGAGGGTGACAGTTTGTCGGCTGTACGTATTGTTTATACACAATTCGTGAGGGTGTCAGTTTGTCGGATGTACGTATTGTTTATACACAATCCGTGAGGGTGTCAGTTTTTCGGATGTACGTATTGTTTATACACAATCCATGAGGGTGATAGTTTGTCGGCTGTACGTATTGTTTATACACAATCCGTGAGGGTGGCAGGTTGGCGGATGTACGTATTGTTGATACACAATCCATGAGGGTGTCAGTTTGTTGGATGTACGTATTGTTTTTGTCGGATGTCCGTATTGTTTATACACAAGCCGTGGGGGTGTCAGTTTTTCGGCTTTACGTATTGTTTATACACAATCCATGAGGGTGACAGTTTGTCGGATATACGTATTGTTTATACACAATTCGTGAGGGTGTCAGTTTGTCCGATGTACGTATTGTTTATACACAATCCATGAGGGTGTCAGTTTGTCGGCTGTACGTATTGTTTATTCACAATCCGTGAGGGTGACAGTTGGTCGGCTGTACGTATTGTTTATACACAATCCGTGAGGGTGACAGTTTGCCGGATGTACGTATTGTTTATACACAATCTGTGAGAGTGTCAGTTTGTCGGATGTACGTATCGTTTATACACAATCTGTGAGGGTGTCAGTTTGTCGGATGTACGTATCGTTTATACACAATCTGTGAGGGTGTCAGTTTGTCGGATGTACGTATCGTTTATACACAATTCGTGAGGGTGTCAGTTTGTCGGATGTACGTATTGTTTATACATAATCTGTGAGGGTGTCAGTTTGTCGGATGTACGTATCGTTTATACACAATTCGTGAGGGTGTCAGTTTGTCGGATGTACGTATTGTTTATACACAATCCGTGAGTGTGTCAGTTTGTCGGATGTACGTATTGTTTTTGTCGGATGTCCGTATTGTTTATATTGTTAATTATTTGACACATACTGTTCTTATCCGTAAGAAAAAATAGTACATAATCCGTGAAAGTAAGTTTACGAGGCAATATGTTGGAGTATATGAGAAAACATAACCCCGGGTCTTTGTATAAGAAATTTGGTAAGAAGAAAGCTAAAACACCAATGTGTAATGGTCATCAACGGTACATCATTTCAAAAACCTGTTTTCTGTACAACAAGATAGTGATCCAGTCCATCATGGCGACTTTAGTCTTGATGACACTGTTTTAGAGTAATCAGATGCTCCTATTTCGTTGCAAGAAGTCAAAAACGCTATTCGGAACTTGGTATGTGGTAAATCACATGGACCTGATGGTTTGTTAAATGAATGTTTAAAAGCTGGCGAGGAATGACTTCTTCCAACTTTATCTACGTTGTTGGATTATATACTAGAATCTTGTTATTTTCCTTCTAATTGGTCGTCAGCCATAATTATTCCTGTCAATAAGAAAGGTGTTTTAAATGACCCTAATAACTTTATTAGTTTAATTAGCTGCCTGTGTAAACTTTTTACCTCTGTACTCAATAAACGTATTTTAGATGCGTGTACAAAATATGACCTTATTACTGATGCACAATTCGGAATTCGTCCAGAACTTTGTACGATTGATGCAATTTTCGCATTACATTCTATTATAACGAAAACTTTATCTTCGATGAAACGTTTGTACTCTTGCTTGTGGACTTTCGCAAAGCGTTTGATTTTGTTGATAGATTAAGCTTATGGCGTAAGCTGACTAAGCTTGGTATTCGAAGGCAAAATGTTATCCGTCATTAAGTCATTCGATAAACAGTAAATGTTCTAACTATTTTGAGTACAATGTTGGATTAAGGCAAGGGGAAATAGTATCTCCTTTGTTGTTTTCAGTTTTTGTTAATGATTTTGAAACCTCATTTATTGAAAATGGTGCAACAGACTATGACTTTGGTGAATTAAGTTTGTTTTTGTTAATGTATGCGGGTGACTTAGTTATGTTTTCCGAAACTATTGAAGGTTTACAGAGTCTTTTAGATAATCTGAATGAGTATTCTACTAAATGGAAATTAACAGTTAACACTGAGAAAACCAAAATAATTGTATTTAGAAACGGGGGTCGTATACGAGATAGAGAAAGATGGATGTATAATGGTGTGGAGGTGGAAGTTGTGGATGTTTTCAGCTACCTAGGAGTAAAACTTAAATTCAATAATAGATTCAATCAAATACAGAAGCAGTTATCTGACCAAGGACGAAAGGCCATGTTTGCCCCTTTTTCAAGCTGTTCTAGCTTGAGCTTAAACTCTACAACGTTATTGCATTTGTTTGCAGTAAATTGCATGATGTATGTGAAGTTTGGGGATCTACAAAAGGTACGGATATTGAGAGAGTACACTGTAAGAAGATTTTAAAAGTTAAGAAGTCGACTTGCAATGCAATGGTTTATTTTGAATTAGGTAAAAAAAAAAGAAAATCCGTTTGTCGGCTGTACGCATTGTTTTTGTATACAAACCGTGCGTGTGTTAGTTTTGTTTGTTTGTTATCAGTTCTATTGCATGGACTATTTATACACAATCTCTGATGGTGTCAGTTTTGAAATCGGTCGTTCACATAAACACCTTTAATGTGCAATAAGTCGGAAAAGATTTTAAAATATGTGCGGTGTTCAATTCTCGGGATACTGTGTACAGATTGAGCCTACTACGAGTTATGTCCCTTTAAGTACAAAGTCGTATATCTTAAGGGACATGGTAGGGCATGTCAACGCGTATAATAAATTATCGTCGATTGGTATTCATATAGCCATGGTAAATATTTTTCTTTTCTTTTCAATCGGGATCAACGCCGCAGTGAATAAACAGCGACATGGTAAACAATCGAGTAACGCCAATAAAAGACAAGAAAGTACTTCGATCAGCTCTTTAAGCCAATCAGATTCGTCGTAACTCGCTTGTATACCTTACCTGTGTGGTGTGGTGATATATATTGCCGCAATATTTTTGTGTGCCAAACACACATGTCATAAGAGTAAAAAATCTTTGTGAACAAAACATGCATCCAATATTTTAATGAACGTGAAAATTTTATAAATATATCAAAATCATATACAATATAGATATATATGTACAATGTCTTTTCTATTCGGGTATATTGCCCCAACAGTTTGTTTCAGTATATATAGGTTTGACAATTATTGTCCAGTTAAATTACGTGTTGCCTCTATATTCATTCAAAGACAGTTATAAAGTTGTGGTCTTTTGAGGAGGTTAGAATAAGCACCTTGCAATGCTAATCAGGAGAGGTCAAGAGATCGAAATCTCGAAGCTGAGTCAAAGTATCTTTTTAGAAAACGAATACTATAAAAAGCACTTTTTTTGAGCGTATTACTTTGCTATGTTAAATGGGAAAGTATCTCCAGGTCAGAAAAATGCCGACCAAATTAGAACTCCTCTTCGTTGGAGATACAATACAAAGCACTGGGGCAATCTACCTTAACTTTTGACATATGTGATTGTGAACGAGAACAAGCTATTATTCTACCGAGTTAAGTCATTCTTTATGACATTTCTCATCCGTTACAAAACACGTAGGAATTTTAAAAATGACCTAGTATTGATATATTCGAGGACCAGTTATATTTGTTAGCATGTATACATTATGTATACTTATGAATTTCGGTTGAATACCACATTGAGGAATGAAATATTGGATGGTTTTGGAGGGTCAATATCTGGGATTCGGTTAAGAAACGATCGCATGCACAAGTCTATTAAACCCGGTTATTTAGGAGGTAATAGCTACAATCGTTACAGTTACTGCCAGCATGACAATGCCCACCTGTGCATTAACGTCTGTCACGGACCGGTGCGGACACCGTAATATAACAGTAGCGTGTATTGACATTGGGCGCGCCAATATTTGTACAACATTATACACTGGTGTTTAAAGACTGGCTAAACAGATAACGTTCAGTACTTATGTCAATTGAATAAAGTCAGAGCTAATAACCGTTGGTAAAGCCTTTCTTCTGACCAATTTTAGAAGCAACTAGCTGTAGAAATAATATTAAAATTACTCTCCAGAAAGTGGAGAGGAGCTGTTTTGAGTATATACCTGGGAGCTCATTATATCTGCGAGAGTGCACCATGAGATAAGACGTCTTGATTCGCCGCTGATACTTTTACAGTGCGAGTGCATGGCTTAACCCCAGGAATCCCAGTAGCCGGTACCACAAGGATCTACAGTCTGCTCGTGCATGGCCAGTCACCTCACGTGCACACATACAACTACAATAGTAGTCTCAGTCATTTGTCTCGTAATTTGTCACTTGATCGAAGTGTCTTATTCCTTAAATAATGTGTGACGTGTTTAAAAGTGAATTCACTTGGAAGAATTGTGGATTTTCTCACAGAAATAGGAAAGCATTTTACACATGTCAGGTAAGTATCACCTACGTGTAACCTATGTATAATGTATATATACACGTAAAGTACAGTATGTACTAGCATCCATTGATAAATTAACTATTAACACTACGTATTTTAAAGTTATCGACTCGGTAAGTATGCAATATATTACAATATTTCATTTCATACGTATGAAGTCTATCCGAAAATGTAGGGTATATCAACAATACAATACAATACAATAGATATATATACAGTGTATTGTCCGTCAATTACACACTTACACATACATTGTATAACTCAATATTGCAATAAACATTTCATGGTATATTGTATTTGTCAACAATACAATAAATAACAATTGTATAATTTATTATAAATAGAATACACGTCATTTTCTACTGTATATAAATAACAAAATTAAAAATACAATTCATCTGCATGATATACATTGTATGAAATATAAAAATTAGATTACTTTTTCTCTCACGACACCTTAGTATTTTTTCCACTCATGTCTGCTACCTTGATAAATCTACAAGGAGTTCATTGGTACATGTAAACATTTCTGGTTACCTATAAGTGTGTAACACGCTGGCCCCGGTGGTTAAAGGTCGTTTAACCTCGACCACTGTTTAGTGAAAACTTGAAATTGTTGAAAATAAGAAAAAAGGTCTTTCGAAGCGAAATAAATCCACAAAACCCATCGATCTTAAAACAAATTTATTGCAGTGAAATCAGGTCAGATGTTCTTTATTTTTTTTGTATTCATATTTTAAAATTTTCCTTAGAAACCGATTAACTCTAACTAACCTTTGAGTAACTGGGGCTTGGACTTTTTTTCATTGGTCAGTTTTTTTTAATAATGACGTCACGTAATAATTCTACGTCACGTAACGATGCGTTGTGTCGACATCTTTAATTGTGACTTTATAATTCATAACAATTTTCTCCCGATCAGCATTAAGAATCATCTATTTTCAAAAGAAACATGTGGTTTTCTAGATATAATACAAACGTTATGATCGAGAAACGGCCCCCAGACTCGTGATGGCAGGCTATCACACTTATGCAGCTCTAACTGGTTTATCAAGTGGAAAAAAGACATTCGGTAAACCTCCTGTTTCTTCACAAATTGAAAATTAACTAACTCAAATGAGATAAACATTATGACGAAACAGCACTCGTTGAGGAATCTCTATGCCCTTTGTAAATGTATATAAACAGCACTATGAATAATACATCACACACACACACATTGTATGGCACCTCAAGACCGGATGACGCAATACATAAACTGCATACTCACCTGACGTTTGATAATATATAACAATTTACAAATAAAACACCACATACAGAGGCGCAATCGATTTACCAAGTGTTACTGATATGTGTATGGTGTTAAAATCCACACGTGTAAGTCATCGTTACTACACAAACCACACGTGTTGGTCCCCGGGTTATAATGAAGCCAACATGTGAAATTGCAATTAATAACGTTTTTAGGACGAGTTTGTCGTGAAACAGGTGTTAACTCCCAACTCCACTTTCTTTCTGTAATATCTTCTCCCGCCTCTTTCCCCGTCTCCCCTTCCCAATTCCTCCTATTAATACTCCCCCCCCCCCCCCNACTCTCGTGTGTAGGCCAGGGGAGACTAAATTATCACCATTATCTACGAGTGTTGGTGGCAGTGTTGATGTGTGAAATTAGGGGAGACAAAAAGAAACACCATTGGTGTAAACAGCTCAGGCCTCCAAAGCATTCCTCGCCTTGCCGTCAGTTATATATCGTGCATTTTTACATCTGGACCTGCAAAACCATTCAACAACACGCGCATAAAAAACTTAGGCACAGAAACATAATAAGTTGTGTGGAGCGCATAATTCCCGTCATTATACGTGCATTGTTGGCCGTGTTTATCAGCACAGTTTATACGGACTAGGAACGAAGCGGAGAAGACGACAATAAAAGTATATTTATATATAAATATGATATGACAGTTCTTCCTGTTCTGTGTCTTTGTTACGGCATTGTGGTGTAGTCTACCTTTACACGATAAAGGTCACGGGGAATCATGTACTTTTTTCTAAATATAAATCCATGTGACGTCATCTTATGTCAACATCGAGAACCATTCATTTCTAACAGGAGGTGTTCGGTATACTTACTTGTGAACAGATTAAATTTGTTGTAATATAGTTAGGTGACAGGTCAGAATTAAGTCATTTGCTTTCTAAGTGTCGCCGCAAACGAACCAGACTAGATGTTTTATTGGGAAATTGGGATTTTTTTCACGGGAAGTAAGCGCTCATTGAAATCCGATTTAACAAATTAGTTAAAATGTTTTAAGGCGTCTCGCGATGAGCTACATTCTCTAGCCAGGAGATATGGTGTGTGTTTGATAGAAGATAAGGGTGAGGATTACACCATGTAAGCTATACTTAGAAAGTCTCGTTTAGAAAGCAGGAAACATCTTAAGAGTACCCACCGCAACTCCGTCATTCGGTAACAAGTGAGAACAGTTCTCAGTGTAAAATCTCTACTGGGTACTAATAATCACAACCAATATCGTTACATATAGAAAGAGACTTTGCTTGATTATTGTACAGGCCAGAAGTAACTGTCGTACGGGTTTTATCTATTTCTGGATGATCCTCATTCATTTAAACCACATGGTTGATGATACTCAATTTACTAATCCTACCGACACACACTCCAACAGTCCACACATTATTACCACATGCATGGTTGATGATACTCAATTCACTAATCCTACCGAGTACACACATTATTACCACATGGTTGATGATACTCAAGTTACTAATCCTACCGCGCCCCCCCCCCATAGTACACACATTATTTCCCCATGGTTGATGATACTCAATTCACTAATCCTACCGCGCCCCCCCCCCATAGTACACACATTATTTCCCCATGGTTGATGATACTCAATTTACTAATGCCCCCATAGTACACACATTATTATCACATGGTTGATGATACTCAATTAACTAATCCTACCGCCCCCCCCCCTAGTACAAACATTATTACCACATGGTTTATGATACTCAATTTACTAATCCCCCCCATAGTACACACATTATTTCCCCATGGTTGATGATACTCAATTTCCTAATCCTCCCCCCCCCCCCCCCCATAGTACACACATTATTATCACATGGTTGATGATACTCAATTAACTAATCCTACCGCCCCCCCCCCCTAGTACACACATTATTACCCCCTGGTTGATGATACTCAATTTACACACATTATTACCACATGGTTGATGATACTCAATTTACTAATGCCCCCATAGTACACACATTATTATCACATGGTTGATGATACTCAATTCACTAATCCTACCGCGCCCCCCCCCCATAGTACACACATTATTTCCCCATGGTTGATGATACTCAATTTCCTAATCCTACCGCCCCCCCCCCCCTTGTACAAACATTATTACCACATGGTTTATTATCCCCAATTTTCTAACCCTCCCCCCCCCCCCCCCCCATAGTACAAACATTATTGCCACCTGGTTGATGATACTCAATTTACTAACCCTACCGCCCCCCCCCCCATAGTACACACATTATTTCCCCATGGTTGATGATACTCAATTTACTAACCCTACCGCCCCCCCCCCCATAGTACACACATTATTATCACATGGTTGATGATACTCAATTCACTAATCCTACCGCGCTCCCCCCCCATAGTACACACATTATTATCACATGGTTGATGATACTCAATTTTCTAATCCTACCCCCCCCCCCCCCATAGTACACACATTATTATCACATGGTTGATGATACTCAATTTTCTAATCCTACCGCCCCCCCCCCCCCATAGTACAAACATTATTACCCCATGGTTGATGATACTCAATTCACTAATCCTACCGAGTACACACATTATTACCACATGTTTGATGATACTCAATTTACTAATCGTACCGACACACACTCCAACAGTCCACACATTATTACCACATGCATGGTTGATGATACTCAATTCACTAATCCTACCGCGCTCCCCCCCCATAGTACACACATTATTTCCCCATGGTTGATGATACTCAATTCACTAATCCTACCGAGTACACACATTATTACCACATGGTTGATGATACTCAAGTTACTAATCCTACCGCGCCCCCCCCCCATAGTACACACATTTTTACCACATGGTTGATGATACTCAAGTTACTAATCCTACCGCGCCCCCCCCCCATAGTACACACATTATTACCACATGGTTGATGATACTCAATTTACTAATCCTACCGCCCCCCCCCCATAGTACACACATTATTACCACATGGTTGATGATACTCA